TCCATCTGAAGAAGTGTGCATGCACACGAAAGCTCATACCAATAATAAACTTAGTTGGTCTCTAAGGTGCTACTGGAAGGAATATTTTTACTGTATTTTGTTTTGACTACGGCAGACCAACAGGGCTACCTACCTGTAATCCAAACTCTCCATTTAGAACGGGTTCCATTTAGAAAGGCTTCTAACCACCTCTCTTAAATTGACAATCCAAGGCTGCCCATCCATCAGTCCCACCCAGAAATCCTTCCATTTAATCCAGACCAGTTTGCCTGTGGTGTGGGATGAGAAAACGCAGCATTAGAATTAACCTGTGATGGATATTAGTTTTCCATTTCTCTTCAAATGAGTGGATAAAGGCTATTTTGCACTTACCATTTCTAGTGGAATAATTGCTGGCCGTTGCCCCCAATTTCTTGGCATGTTGGCACACAGTATCAACATCATTTGGCTAGTATTCTGCATTTATTGGTTGGGGGAGTATGAGGGTATATTAGTGTGGGAAGGAAAACCCTGTACTCACTCCCCAATAATAGTGACATGAGAGCAAACGTGCAGGCATTCATTCTTAGAAATGTTGCATCAAACAGCGACTGTTCTGCTACAAATGATAAAGCCACTTCCGAGATAAGGAGGAGTGGGGTTGCGGGCTTCACGCCCCTTCCCCACACTTGCGGGGGCTGGCTCCAGCCCACGTGATAGTAGAGGGAATCCTCGGCCTTGTCATACCCTGGGTCAACCAATCGGCTGGCTCCGGGGGTGTGGCCTCGCCTACTTAGGTCTGCCACGGCCGAGGCTCCCCCTCTTTCCCTCACTGCAGCTGACCCGGTTTTCCCTCCCTTCCCACCCTCTAGGCTAGGTCTTTGACGTTGCTATGAACTTTGGTTGGTCGCTGTCAAGGGGCCTGGTAGGAATTTTTCCAATTGGCAGATTGGCACCAGCCATTTGGTTTTCGCCTACCTTGTAGCAATCATCACAACTCCTCTGTATTGGCGGTTAGGCATTGGTGGGGGTATTGTTTATTGTTATGCAGATGAAGGGGGGGAAGGAGCGCCATCACCTTCCCCCAAACAAAGGGTAAGCCGGTAAAGGATTCCGGGGGGGCGTGGCCTTGTCCTAAGCCTAAGGAGGTGTGGGCCCATGGCACGCCCTCATGCGGTGACGCCGGGGGGAGGTCCTAGTTGACGTGCCTCAGCAGGACTCCTCCCACTGGTGGTTAACCCTTACCGGCCCTCAAGCCGGTTAGTTGTTAGGACCAATGCCTAAGCCAATACCGTTCAATTCCTGTAATCAATAAAGTTGTGGCCTAATTTGACCCATTAACCTGAATTCTTGTGTCCTGTGTCTTTATTTCCATGGGGGGAGGCGGGAACTCACCACGCAAATGGAAAGGTCCTAAGTCTCTATCAACAAATATTAGCCACAACAGTGATATGAAACTTCCAGCTTCAGAGGCAGTGTACCTGTATTTCAATTACTAGGGAGGGCAAACAGCAAGGGCAGGACTACTGCTTTCTTGTGGGCATCCAAGAAGCAATTGGTTGGCCAACAGGATGAATGACTGACCAAGGAGGGCTTTTCTTATGGCCCCTTGAAAAAAATGCACAGCAAGGTTGAGCTTACAACTAAAATTCAGGTTACAGGCGCAGCTGGATGGGTAATTAAGCTCACCCAGCCCTTAATCAATGACCTGTTTCAATGTTGTGGGTATCTGACAGACAGATTCAGCAGGGGGAATATGAAATCACTGTCCTTCTGTCCTCCTCCCTGATTAATGCATATTTAACTATGCATAATGAATTGCAGCCAAACTAGATGAAACAACAGGAGCCCATGTATCTTTAAATTTTGAGAAATAGCACCTGCGGGGAATGGAGGCAATCTGGGCTGGGGGGCTGGGGGGTTAACTCTTACCCCAGCATCCTAAAAGAACAACAACTTTGATTTTACCTATAAAATGCAACTTATGCATACAGGCCATGTTCAAATGAGACTGTCTTAATAGGGAAAATAGCACCTGTGTGGGTGGGTGTGTTTGTGTGATTTTCCATCAGGAAAACAGCACTGGGGCAAAGAAATGCAACACATACACACCCTTCCTGGTAGGTGTCTGTAGTAATAACCCTGTTCAGGTGTAATGCAAGAAGGGAAGCGTGGGGCTCCCACCCCCACAATTGCAGTCCCCCCAACGTTTGGAAATAGAAGGTCTTAGGCAAGGAGATTTTCTCTGCATATAGCAGAGGTTGGGAACTTCAGACCAGGGGGCCAAATCTGGTACTCCAGGCTTCCCTCTGTGACCCACAGGACTTTCCCCAGGCCACTCCCATATCCCTAAGCTGCACCTCTCACCTCCTTGCCCTGCCCCCTCCCTGAGTGCTTTTGTGGGGCTGGAATGTGTCCTTGGTCTGTGCTCATAATGCCTCTTGCATGCTTGGATGGATGGAGGCTCCTGGGATGTGGGGATGTGGAAACCTCTGGCTTCATGTGTATCCTCCAGTGTGGATGTAAGGCTCACACCCATTGCTCTGCCACTTGTGGCCCTCGGAGGGTTGCTTACTGAGGAATGTGGTCCTCAGACTGGAAATGGTCCCAGCCCTCGCACTTAGGGTCCCCACGTGATTTAGAATCTGCTGCAACCTGGGTTCTAAATTGCATGGGAACTCGGCATGTAGAGCAGGCTCTGCGCTTCAGACTTTTCCTTTCCTATGGAAGTCAGGAGGCCTGGGGATGGAGGCATGGGGTGGCGGCCACTTTAGCTAATGCATTGCATCATCCCCTGCAAACGGGTCAGTGAGAAGTTCTGCTTGGGCAGAACCAGCTGCAGAGCATGGAGGTCCGTGAGTCCCGCCAACTTCACTGACCTGGAAGCTTTCTGGTTAGAGACACACGAGTTAGCAGAGCAAGAGGGGATGTGAGAAAAGTGTGGGGGGGATCTGGAGAAAGAAGAGGTTTTTCTCCCCCTCGTGCAACACTGGAACTTGTGGACCTACAATGGCGCTGAATGTTGGAAGATTCAGGGTGGACCAACAGAAGTGCTTCTTCCCACGGCACATGGTTAAACTATGGAACTTGCTCACACAAAGGAGGAAGCAACGGCCACCAACTTGGGTGGCTATAGACTTTAGCCATCAACACCGAAGAGTGGGCAAGAGGGAGATAGGTGTTGATGCAGAAAATAATCACACACACATACACACACTGTACTGAGCTTTAACTCAGGGGAAAAAATTTGGACTCTGAGCTCAGCAGCACCAACTTTCCCTGATAGATCTAATGGCACAAATGCGGTCAAACCACTGCTGCCACACCCCTTGGGTGATTTCCTCTCTGCTGGGAGATGGTACGCTGAATATCCCTGTAGATATGGGGGATTGTCCACCAGGCACCAGGTCTCTTGGGTGTAAATAATATCATTTTTTTGCGGGAAACGTATCCGATCCCTATCTCCTTTTTGGTTATCTGATCCTGCTGGGTTGCTGGATATTAGATCTTTCTGTGTACTTTGATGATTGGGCATTATATAAGGTCTTTGGGGGTTTTGGCTGTTGACTCGTCAATTTAGGTGCGTGGGCTAAGTTACCTCATTTGTTTGGTAAAAGGTCAAATTGCCTGGGTTCAAGTGGGATACCTATGGTTGCCACCTTGGTGTTCTCGATCGCACAAAGCTCACCATGGTAAACAACTGGGTTTACTGTTGCTACACGGCTTTCTTTGTCTCTTGGGTGGCTATAAAAGAGGATTAGACAAGTTCATGGAGGACAAGGCTTTCAGCGGCTATTGATGGATATGTTCTACCTGCACTGTCCAAGGAAGCATGCTTCTGAATTCCAGCTGTTGGGAACTGTAGGTGTGGAGAGTGCTGTTGATATCAGGGTCTTCTCATGGGCTTCCCATTGGGACATCTGATTGGCCACTGTGAGAACAGGTTGCTGGACGAGAAGAGCCATTGGACTGACCCAGCAGGCTCTTAAGTTCATATAAGATTTCCTAGCCTATTGCTGTAAGTGTAGGCTCTTCCTTGTTGCTAAGATGCTCTCTGCACCAACCTTCTAAATATAAGAAAATTCTCTTCCCCTTGTTTCCACAAAAGAAGTTCAGGCCTGCATGGCCTTTGGGTGGCATGTTTTTTAGGGCACAACTGCGGAATTGCTCTGTACAGATAGGTTCCCATTTCCAGTTGCCCTGAATCCAGCCTGGGAACCTGGGACCGTTTTCTCATCATGAAGCCAATGAAGCTAATGTACGCCTCCAGGATGTGACACCTGGGAAGCAGAACCTTTATAGCTGGCCTAGTAATTACTGGTCTGAAACTCGGCTCCTCCAGAGATGCCACGTGGAGGCTGCCCTCTAGTTACATTCCTCAATACATGTTTAAAACATTGCCGTTCTTGTTTTGCCAATCTGAAGCTCAACAGCATCTGCACGCCTTCTTGCCTCGCTGTTCGCCAATCCGTTAACTGGTTTGATGCTGGCCTCTTGCAAATTTTATAGAAACGCAAGCCAAGCTCTAACCAAGAATTCTGGTAAACATTCATGTGCTTGGCTTGATTTTTGGCTAAGGAACTCTGTACACATCTGGGATGGCCAGTCTATCTGAGCCTTCCACAACCTCGTGCTTTCCTGACTACAACTCTCACCATCCCTGACCAGGCGAGATGTGAATGATGGGAGGTATAATCCAAAACATCTTGAGGGCACCAGGTTGGGGAAAGCTGCCATGCTCCAGCCCTCAGGGCTTGAGGTCCCAGTTCAGGGAGGCATAATCCCCCTATGCAATGCATTCAAGCAAGGGTGATGATTCAACATCATCCGGGACAACCAGAGTTAAGCACATGGAATAAGTCCAGCTTCAAAACATAGGCCGAATGCAGGATCTAGGAGCAGTCAGGAGGCTACACCAATGGCAATCCAGTCAAGGGACAGTATAGCAAGGAGGGAAGGTGGGTGTTGTTTTGAGCAACTAGAAGGCTAAAAATGGAAATATGGTTATTATATATGATTATACATATAGCTTAGTTGTTAGAACATGAGACTCTTAATCTCATTAAGGGTTAAGGGTTTGAGCCCCACGTTGGGTAAAAAGATTTCTGCATTGCAGGGGGTTGGACAAGATGGCCCTTGTGGTCCCATCCAACTCAACAGTTCTATGTAGTTCATGTCTAAGGGATGTGGGTAGCACTGTGGTCTGAACCACTGAGCCTCTTGGGCTTGCCAATCAGAAGGTCGGCGGTTTGAATCCGCGCAACGGGGTGAGCTCCCGTTGCTCTGTCCCTGCTCCTGCCAACCTACCAGTTTGAAAGCATGCCAGTGCAAGTAGATAAATAGGTACTGCTGTGGTGGGAAGGTAAACGGCGTTTCCGTGTGCTCTGGCTTACGTCACGGTGTCCCATTGCGCCAGAAGTGGTTTAATCCTGCTGGCCACATGACCCAGAAAGCTCTGTGGACGCCAGCTCCCTTGGCCTGAAGGCAAGATGAGCGCCACACCCCATAGTCACCTTTGACTGGACTTAACCATCCAGGGGTACTTTACCTTACCTTACCTATGGTATTGGGGGGCAGGGGGATATACTGTGAAATTAAGCACCTTTTCGTGCACTGTATGGGGATGTTTCAGGAAGAAGGAAAGGGGAAATGACAGCTTTTCCCTTTCCCACTCTCACTATAGGTATAGAAAGCTCTCTAGGCAGATACCATGGGCCCATCTAACCCAGAGTAGCATATGCTGATTGGCAGCAGCTCCCCAAGGGTACAAGTGGTTGGCCATCCAACCTTATCTAAGATGTTTTTAGGTGGAGACGTGGAGAACTGAACCTTGGGGCATAGGTCGCTGCCTTCTACCGAGTCAGATTGTTGGTCCATCTTGCTACAGCGACTCTCAGCAGCTCCACAGGGTTTCAGGCAAAGAGTCTTTTCCCAACCCTACCTGGCGATGGTTGGGATTGAACTGGGGACCTTTTGCATGCAAAGCATGTGCTCTGCCACTGAGCCACAGCCAGCATGTGCACTTGCACTGAGCTTCTCCCTCTACTCAAGAGTCTGTGTGACCTCACTCAGATCCTGCATCTTCATAAGTTGCCCAGGAGGGAAATTCTTCCTGTTTCCTTGTCTGTCACTACAGTCCAGGAGGCCAAGATTAGGGCCATTGGGAGGAGGATTTTACACATTGATTTAGTAAATAATTGAGTGGCCCACTGTCCAGCCCAAGGTGCTAAAACTGACAAAGGTCTTCCAAGAGCAGGCCTGATTTCTTGTTAATTCCCAGCTCCCTGTGGATATCCTCATCCCTCCAACAGTCTTTGAGTGATGTTGCTTGTAGCCCTAACCTCATTCTTTCTCATAGATTCAAATTCACTCCAGTCATGAGGGGACAGACCATCTTTCTCATCCGTAAATAGCAATCTCCTTCTCGGGACTTCAGGTTAACTAGTTTTTGAGATGCAGTGCCATCAAAGCTCTTGCAGCTTTTACAACATTCCTTCTCTTCTTCCTTCTACAATAAAATTCCCTGTAAATCTGCAAAATCACTAAGGTCTTCAGAGGAGTCACTTGTGACTGAGATCCACCAGGAGTTGTGTGTTTTGTACTGTGGGTGCCTTTCTGTGGAACCCCCTTCCAGTTAAGGTCAGACAGGTCTACTCCCTATTGAATACATTGTTGTTGTTGTTGTTTAGTCGTTTAGTCATGTCCGACTCTTTGTGACTCCCTGGACCAGAGCACTCCAGGCACTCCTGTCTTCCACTGCCTCCCGCAGTTTGGTCAAACTCATGCTGGTAGCTTCAAGAACACTGTCCCACCATCTCGTCCTCTGTCGTCCCCTTCTCCTTGTGCCCTCCATCTTTCCCAACATCAGGGTCTTTTCCAGGGAGTGATGATGATGATTACAGCAGGCATTTCAAATAAAATTCTGATTTTATAGTTTTAACCAGTTTTTTCCTTGTGTACTGCTTGGAGACGATTGTAATTAAGCAATGCATAAAATTGCCTAAATAAAAATAAATAAAGAATAAAGGGCTGTTAAAGTCAATAAATAACATCAGTGAACTACATAGAACTACATTGGTTGGCATCTGTCTGTCTCGGGAGACAAGGGAGGAGGGTATCTTTGAGGGTGAAGTACTGCTGCCTCCAACGTTTCTTTTGCTGCGTTTGCAGCACTGAAGCAACCTCCCTGGGGTGCAAGCCTGGCCAGCGAAATGGAGGTCCTGGGCTGCCTAGACGAAGGTAAAGGTAAAAACGTAAAGGACCCCTGGACGGTTAAGTCCAGTCAAAGGTGACTCTGGGGTTGCGGCCCTCATCTTGCTTTCAGGCCAAAGGAGCTGGTGTTTTTCCACAGACAGCTCTCTAGCATGACTAAACTGCTTCTGGTGCAACGGGATACTGTGACAGAAGCAAGAGCACATGAAAATGCTGTTTACCTTCCCGCCACAGCGGGATCTAATCTACTTGCACTGGTGTGCTTTCGAACTGCTACTGTAGGCTGGCAGGAGCAGGGACTGAGCAACGGGAGCTCACCCTGTCGCGGGGATTCGAACCGCTGACTTTCCAATCAGCAAGCCCAAGAGGCTCAGTGGTCAGTGGCATAGGAAGGGGGGATGGTGAGGGCGGTTCGCCCTGGGTGTCATCTCTGAGGGGGATGACAAAAAGGCACACCGCGGGGGGCTCAGCCCCCTGCCCCTGTGCACGGCGGATCATTCTGCTGCTGCCATAATGTGCAGTGGATCGCCCCACTGCCACCGTAGTTCTCAGCAGATCCCCACGCCCTCTGCACAGCGGATTGCCCCCCCCCCCACAGCTCGCCCCTCCCCCCCAGGTGCACGGCAGGGCCACTGCTCCAGGCGCCCATGCAGCTAACTCCGCCACTGTCAGTGGTTTAGAGCACAGCGCCACCCGCGTCCCATTGCCCAGACAACAATACATCTGCGCGATATATTTGGCACCAGGCGGGCTGCAGGAGTTGCCGAAAATAAGCATACAGGGCACCATTCATCTGTCTTAGGGACTCCATTCTGGATTTGGTGTAGTGGTTAAGAGTGATAGACTCGTAATCTGGGGAACCGGGTTCGCGTCTCCGCTCCTCCACGTGCAGCTGCTGGGTGACCTTGGGCTAGTCACACTTCTCTGAAGTCTCTCAGCCTCACTTATCTCACAGAGTGTTTGTTGTGGGGGAGGAAGGGAAAGGAGAATGTTAGCGGCTTTGAGACTCCTTCGGGTAGTGATAAAGCGGGATATCAAATCCAAACTCTTCTTCTTCTTAGACTTTTCTCCCCCCGAATATATCCCACAAGGCTAGAACTACAGATAATAATAATAATAATAATATTAATAATAACAACAACAACAACACCACTTTCTGCTTCCCAATTACTTCCACCATGTTCTCAACAACAAAACAGTCATTCTCAGAAGTGAGTTCCATTTTCTTGTACTTTTATAATAATATTTATTGAGATTTAAAGAAAACAGAAATATTTAAAATTACACAAAGCAAAATAAGAGATACAAAACTTACACACAATATGAAAAATACAGTAAAAATAAAATAAATACAAAAAAGTAAAATACAGAAAAGATAATAGTAAAGAAGAAAAAAACATAGACCTCCTTATCCTCCCTTCCTTTGTATTCTAGTTATTAATTATCCCAGCAAATCAGCACCATTTTTCCTATTATGTAATCAAACCTTACAATTTAAAATTCAAATCTTAATTATACAACTGTATATTCTGTGTTCTTTCCACAAATCCTTTCCTTCTATTATAAAATAAACTTTAAAATTTAAATTTAGATCTTGACTTACCCCTTCTTATATTCATAATGTTCTTTCATAATTCTTTATACCTTTTTGCTAAAGCCAGGTAAATTCTTCAACATTTTCCTATCATTCATTTTCTCTCATTCTATCATTCATCAGCTTTATAAAACATTCTATTAATTAAAAAAACAATAAAAAAACAAAAAAGGAGAAGAAAGCATATAAATCAAGTCCAATCTTAATCCAACGTCCCTTCCTCTGGTTTCAGGATTTGTCAGTCATATTAATCAAACTAACCCAGGTGACCTTATGTCCGAGGCCTCAAGTCACTTCCATGGCCCCTTCCCATAACTTTCTACTTCATATTTGTGGCTGTAGTCACTTGCTCGTAGTAGCTCCAACTTAATAATGCTTTTAACCCTTCTCATCGAGTCAGATCCTTTCCCCTGTTCATGTGCATTCCATATAGTATTTAGGCATACTTCAAGGTCCCCAGATTTGTAGACCCCACATTTCCAAACGTAATGCAGCCTGTTACTGAATTTCCAAATTCAATTATCAGATCAGTCAAGCTCCTGTTGAGGCTGTTCTGTCAGCCACACTCCTGATTTAATGCCACAAACCCCTGTTCTGTCAAAACACACTCCTGGTTTGAGTCCTGGATAGACTCCACATCTATTCCACAGTTTGATCAACGCCTTCCACTGCCAATCCGAGATTTCCAGTCGACTTGGCCATCTGATTCACCTTATCATGTAGTTCTTCCAGTAGAATATTTGTTTCTTTGAGCAGGCAAACCACAGCTTCTGAAAACATTGTTACATCTCACAGTTCTTTGTAACAACTATCAGTCCTTGGCATTTGAATTACAGTTTAAAGCTCCCCTAGGGAAGACATATTTCTTTCTGATACATTTCATGTTGCTTAAAATCTTTATCATATATATTTGTTTAAAAATCGAAAAGGAACAATGAAGTCACAAAATTTCCTTCTTTTAACCATCTGGCCACACAGATACCTTGGTTGTTCATCAGTCCCCTGACTTCCACGCTCAGGATCCAGGCGAAGATAACTTCCTTTTACTGCTTCAAATAGTCCAAAATAATATTCCCAATTTAAAATGTTGAGTTCACTCTTTTAAAGCAGTTTTCAAAGCTCAGTACAATTTAACTTTGCTTTGTATGTTTACAAAAGAACGGAAGGGTGACTTCCTGTTTAGCCTGCACTCCGTGCACCAAATTCAATCAATTTTCTTTCTTTTTAGTCCAATTCTGCCCTTTTTCACTGATCTTCCTTCAGCCTCCCAATTTGTCCATTCTGGGTACTCACGGATATTTGTTTAAAAGTCAGGTGTCCAGGAAAAGGCAGCGCTCTCCGGCAGCAGCTGCAACCATCACAAAGCAGGCGACTCACAGCCACTGGCACCTTCACTTCCCGCTCTGTTTCCGGAGCCCGTTGCGAGTTCCTTTGCAGACGGGCGCAAACAGTGCCCGCCGAGTCCCAGGGTCACAGGCTTCACCCGCCTGTGGTTTGAAGAGTCCCCGCTGCGCCGAAGCGGTTTTAGACCCGATTTCTGTGGAGCGATCTCCCTCTAAGTTAGAGGGATTCCGCCATTGCCGTTGGCACCACCTCCGGAAGTCTAAAGTTCAGTTTTTCAAACTTGCAGCAGGAATTTGGGTGGTGGCTCTTCAGGGGACCCAAAACTGGAGGGAATACCCCCAACATGCAAACACACAGTGCCTTGCAAGTTGAATTGATCTGCAGGGCATTGTGCATGTGGGGGTGGGGGGCAGAGACAGGGGCCACTGCATGGAGCTGGTAGGAGGCCCGTTAAGGCAGCATATGGTGAATGTGGGCTCTGTTGGAGCCTTGGCATCTGCCACCCTCTGATGCCAGGCTTGCTAGATCCTTTTCATTCAGAATACCGACAACATAATCCAGCATTCACAAAAATAAATTCCTTTTGAGCCTCACATTTCTATAATTTCCATGCCTGGAAATGACAAAACAAATCCACCTCTCTGTAAACTTATGTCTGTACGCAACGACACCAGGCACCTTGTCCATTTCTACCTTTTTTCAGGGCACTTTAATAGCCACTCGCACATAGATGGGATATAAGGACTCCCCCCCCCACACACACACACAATATACCCACACAATTTCTGCCACTATTAACATGATTATTGTTAAGGATTTCAGGGTTTTAAGGAAGATCAGCATTGGAGTAAGCGTAAGACTGCAGCCAAAATTTACATTATAATATGTAGTATTTATATCCCAAAATCATAAGTCACCAGGCACTCCTGCCACATCTGTACTAAATGAGCATTTACAACTCAGCCCTTCCAGCATCTGAAGCTTGCATGTGGAGTAGAATTTATTAAGCCTAGCTGGCGTTAAATACAAGTTCAATTCCCACATTCATGCATGAAGCATTTGTATTTTCATCAGTTGCCAAATCATACCAAAACCCAGGTCTTCTTCCCATCACAGAACCTCACTTATCTAGTGCCATCAATATTTGATTTGATTTTTAATTTGCCAGCACACATTATTCATTATCAACTTTTCCCAAGATGTCAGCTGTCTTAATGTATATGTGTGAGACCCCTGCTTTTAAGTCCCGTTAATTTTAGTGGGAGAAATCTCATACTCCGCTCTTTCCCCTTTAAATCAAGGAGCCTTCCAAATGCTTCACTTTGGCCAAAGGCAGAATTGTCTTTGGCAGGCCAACAGCACACAACTCCCGCTTTCAAGGGCCTTGAAGAGGCAAAAGACTGAAACAGAAGAAAAGCCTCTGGTAACAGATTTTGTGCTTAATTCCTCGTGGCTCAGTTACAGCACTTTGCTGTATCACTCCACCCCCCTCCCAAACTCAGTCTCTGGTCTCCTGCTGAGGACATCAGGATACATGCAAAACAACTCCCCCTCCCCACAAAAGCAATCCTTCATTTTTCAAGGACTTGGCTCCCTCCCCAGCTTTTTAAGGAAGCGGATGCAAAACCAAGATGCTCCTTTGTGGCTTCTCCTGCAGGACACTTCAAAGTCCGCCTGTGTGTGATTGAGCATCCAAGATGCAGCTGCTGCCCCAGACGAGTTAAGAAGCTGCAGAAATACAATGGACTGAAAGCCGTGTGTGTGTGTGTGTGTGTGTGTGTGTGTGTGTGTGTACAAAGCAGCAACTCTTGGCAAAAGCAACACAATAAAGATCCCCAAACGCTCAGCTCCTTATTGAACCTTCAACGGGGTTGTTAATTCGCTATTCGCTTCCTAGCCTAGAAGGGAAAGTATGTTATACCCCAGGGCCAGAACTGATGAACGGAGCCATAAATCAAGCAATTTACAAGACCAGCAATTAGGAAACAAGCAGACAGAAGGGAGAGCTGTGTGTGTGTGTGTGTGTGTGTGTGTGTGTGTGTGTGTGTTTAATAAAGGCAATGACAACATTGAATCTAGCAAGTGCACGGGCAAAGGAGGGAATGCATTCTGGCCACCCTTCTGCTCAGGTCTTCCAGAAGCCTCCTTCCTGTTCTTTTTTTTATATATATAATACATTTTTATTAGTTTTCAGCAGTGTATAAACAAAGCAAGAAGTTTGCCCCATCCCAGCCTCTGCCCCCCCCCCACCTTAAACAGAACATTAATGTATTAGATTTTGCCATAAATCCATGTGGGTGGTTAGAGGGTGCCAGTCAACAGGATGCTCATTTGAGTATTTTATGAAGGAGTTTCAATAAAATCATCTACATCAGATGTGTTTTTCAAGGCATGTATCCTCTTCGTTCATTTTTAGGATTGGGCAGCTGTCCATACATTCCGTCTCCATTGTGTGATATTCAGGTGCTCAAATCCTTTCCAGTTCTGCTCTGTAAGTAACTGCATCACCACCAGAAGAAAAGTAGTAAGTTTATGATTTGTAATATTGCATATTTTGGTGGATACTCCTTCCCAGAACAGCTGTACTTGTTCCCATGTCCCCCACAGCTTCCTTGCTGTTCTTTGTCCTTTCTCAAAGAACCCTTTTTAACCATTCTTGGAGCGGGGGTCTTTGATCAGTAGGAGAATTCCAACAAAAATGGAAGCAGGAGTCAACATTTTTCAAGGACCTTCTCTTTCCATATGAACCTACCCGGACCCTGAGATCATCTTCTGAGGCCCTTCTTCATGTGCCGCCTCTTCAAGAGGTCTGGAGGATGGCAACACAAGAACGGGGCCTTCTCTGCAGTGGCTCCCCGTCTGTGGAATGCTCTCTGCAGGGAAGTTCGCCTGGTGCCTTCATTATGCACCTTTAGGTGCCAGGCAAAAACATTCCTTTTTAACCAGGCCTTTGGTTGACCTGGTTGACATCCTATGCCCTTTTAAAATGCTGCTCTTTTTGGGGGGGTGTTATTGGTTTATTGTTCTTATTTTGATTTTATGTATTGTGATCTTTTCTGTGAACCGCCCTGAGACCTCCGAGTATAGGGCGGTATATAAATTAAATCAATTAATAAATGTTGCCAATGTTCATTTATTTGTCTCATATACAGAACAAAAAAAATCAATCCAGCGAATACAATTGGTATTCACTGTTGTCACTTTCCGTCTGCAAATGATGCATAATTGATTTCGTCATTGTCCCAATTTGCATGGCGTTTCCTTTGCATTGAAATGAACAGGGTAGAAAAATGTAATTACAGTGGTAACTTGGGTTAAGAACTTAATTCATTCTGGAGGTCTGTTCTTAACCTGAAACTGTTCTTAACCTAAAGCACCACTTTAGCTAATGGGGCCTCCTTCTGCTACCGCGCCACTGGAGCACGATTTCTGTTCTCATCCTGAAGCAAAGTTCTTAACCTGAGGTACTATTTCTGGGTTAGTGGAGGCTGTAACCTGAAGCGTCTGTACCCTGAAGTGTCTGTAACCCGAGGTACCACTGTATAGTTGAACTTCCAAAATTTGAGCAACTTCCAAAATTTGCACAGTTAAGTAAGTTGCATTACTTCCCCACAGCGTATAGTGTGTCGAATAACATTAATTTTGAAAGATGGGCTGCAGTGGAGCAGAATCAGTGCTGCATGTGAACAATACAGGGCATTGCAGGGAGTTGCCAAGATTATCAATTCATCTGAGCAGATATTAGGAAAGGATCCAGCACTGGAGCTCATATTCTTCCACCGATCCACTGAAATGAACACTGATGCTTTAGGAATCCTCTCTGTCTAAAGCAGGCTTCCTCAACCTCGGCCCTCCAGATGTTTTGAGACTACAATTCCCACCATCCTTGACCACTGGTCCTGCTAGCTAGGGATCATGGGAGTTGTAGGCCAAAAACATCTGGGGGGCCGAGGTTGAGGAAACCTGGTCTAAAGGCTGAGGGTCAGTGAAAAGCACTGGCGTAGATTAGATGCTGGCAGAGGGGAGCCTTAAGGAGCCATCAAGTGAGAGCAGGGAGCAGCCAGAGATGGAAGGAGCTTGCCTTCACCCAGGCAAAGTTTCAGCCTTTGTTATAGCAGAGGTCCAACATACAGGCTCTGTGTGTGAATCTCCAGTGAAGGGGGGCAGTTTGAGAGTTGCCACGTTAGTGCTAGTCTAGCGTTAACCCTAAACAGCAACAACAAAGGGGGGTTGTGTCATTTGGAAAGGACCTGGCTGCTTCTCTGTACCCAACTCCTCTGGTGAAGGAAGCGTGTCGCATTGGAGAGGGCACCATCCAAGCCAGCAGGAAACTTACTCCCTCCTCAAGGAACTTGGCATGAGCAAACTGGGGCAATAGAAGGTGCTTTTTACTTGAGAGAAGGGGGTGACATGATAGAAGAGTATAAAATGACGTGTGGCATCGAGAATGGTTTAAACCAGGGGTAGGCAACCTAAGGCCCGGGGGCCGGATGCAGCCCCATTGCCTTCTCAATCCGGCCCGCGGACGGTCCGGGAATCAGTGTGTTTTTACATGAGTAGAATGTGCCCTTTTATTTAAAATGCATCTCTGGGTTATTTGTGGGGCATAGGAATTCGTTCATTTCCTCCCCCCCCCAAAAAAAATACAGTGGTACCTTGGGTTACAGACGCTTCAGGTTATAGACGCTTCAGGTTACAGACTCTGCTAACCCAGAAATAGTACCTCGGGTTAAGAACTTTGCTCCAGGATGAGAACAGAAATTGCACAGCGGCGCAGCAGCAGCAGCAGCAGCAGCACCAGGAGGCCTCATTAGCTAAAGTGGTACCTCAGGTTAAGAACAGTTTCAGATTAAGAACGGACCTCCAGAACGAATGAAGTTCTTAACCCGAGGTACCACTGTATAGTCCGGCCCCCCACAAGGTCTGAGGGACGGTGGACCAGCCCACGGCTGAAAAAGGTTGCTGACCTTTGGTTTAAACCATCCAAAGCAACTGAAGATGCTACCATCAGCCGTTACCATTCCTCCGTCCATGTCACCTATAGCTGCTCCTCTTCCCACTGAGGGGTAATACTCGAAGGTCCGCTTGTTACAGGAAATGCAGCTAATTCACTTTCTCTTGCTGCTAGGGAATATTGGGGGGGGGGGACACATGCAAGACCAGGTTGTCGCTTGAAAACACTAGGAACGGGTGCCATCGGGTGCCCTCGTGTTCCCGTCCCCAGGAACCAGTTTACTTTGAACAAATCTCATGCTAATGCCCTGCCAGTTGCCTGCAGCTTTGATCTTGACCAAGGAGGCCAAGAGATTAATTAGCAAGGATCCACAAGTGCAGGAGATGTCTCTCCAACCTTGAATTTCTAAAGACAAACAATGCGCACACAAACAGGCGCACAGGCACACACAGGGGGCAGCTCCCCAGCATGGGGTCTGGGAGGCTGGACCAAGCTCTGTGCAAAGGCCGTTTGAAGAGGCTCCAGTGTAAAATTAGCTAATTAATTGCAAAAGAATGGAAATTAAAGCCGGCATAACTTATGCTCTCTCTTTTTTCAGAGGGATGTGTCAGGGAGAGGCAGATGCATTTGCAGGAGAAATTTGGGCAGCATAGAACTCAGGAAGTCACCTGTTCCAGGGTTGTTAGGAGGACGAAAACAAAGCACCCCTCAGTGTCAGATTTGGAGCCCCCAACATGGTAGGCTGTTGCTCTTTTCACCTCGCCTCTTCGTTCCCAACTCATCCTCATTCCCCATCCTCATTACCACTGCGTCTCACTGCACCTGCAACAAAACATATGGTTCCCTGTTTCCAACATGAAATGGTCTTCATTGTTGCTTAAGGCCTGCTAAGTACCTGGTATACACCAAACCCCTGATCAGAGAGATGCCTGAGTGCATGTGACTATTTTAGAATATTATCCAACAAGTGGATGTTTTGAAAGGCCTGCTAGGATGCAACCACAGAACCTAACATTTAGTCTTTTAAAGGGGGGGGCGTATTGTTTTGTTGGTTATTATGTTATGTCTTTTTGAATTTCTATACCAGGGTGGATAAAAACCAATGATTTTTTTAAAAAAATTGTAGCCTTATTGGAGTGCACCAATTGGGTCTGCGTTGCTCCGGGACAGGAGGAAGGAAGTCAAATGACACTGAGTTGGTTCAAAGAAAGAGTTTATTCTGCTCTCCGGATAGCAGAAGGCACTTGCGTGATCAAGTCCACAGCAAGTCCAAAGAAATGAGAAGTTTCATGCAGTATATACCGTATTTTTCGCTCTATAAGACGCACCAGACCACAAGACGCACCTAGTTTTTGGAGGAGGAAAACAAGGAAAAAAATATTCTGAATCTCAGAAGCCAGAACAGCAAGAGGGATCACTGCGCAGTGAAAGCAGCAATCCCTCTTGCTGTTCTGGCTTCTGTGATAGCTGCACAGCCTGCATTCGCTCCATAAGACGCACACACATTTCCCCTTACTTTTTAGGAGGGAAAAAGTGAGTTTTATAGAGCAAAAAATATGGTATATCCTCCAGACACCCTGTTCTCCCTTCCTCAGTCACGTCAGCTTGTATACGCAGGTTGACATCACATATGTTCCTGCTCTGGTACTCTTAACCATAAAATGATCTTCCTTCCTGTACTTCTGACCATAAAAGGATCTTTCTCTTCCTACTCGTATCTGGGAAGAGGTCATAATCTCCGGAAACACGCTTTTGGCGTTTTCCCCGGACATCGGTCCCCACGTATTTTGTGGTGAGCACATAAGATAAAGTATTGACGTGTTTTCTTTGTTCCCCTAAAAAGTCAGGGTCATCCCTTGCCGTGACTGATAAAGGAGACAGCTTGTTTATGCAATTGTGTCCTTATTTTGCTTTTGCTCAACAGCTCAAGTTTTATGCATTTTAAAATGATTTCTTTTGAAAGAACAAAAGGGGGGGTTGAGTCAGTTTTAAACTTGCTACACAGAAACCCATTCCTTCAAAATCAGATTATTATTTTTTAAAAACCACGGATTTTTTAAAATTTAAATCAGTTTTTTTTAATTTAAATTGGATTTTTAAAATAAAATGCTTTTGGAGGAAAAAAAATCTTTCTAAAGATAGTATTCTATTTAAGTTACATTATAGCCCAAAAGCTATTCATCAGGAAATAAGGATTTGTTTTAAGTTTTTCATGTGTCTAAGTTGGTTTTTAAGGAAATTGTTATTAAGGAAATGATTATTTTTCTCCTTCCAAATATAAACAGTTAACTAATTAAACCTCACAATAATTTCATAATTATCTATGTATTTCTAATAGTATAACCATTTAGTGCATGGGTAGGCAAACTAAGGCACAATCAGTCCCAATTGCTCAATTGCCTTCTGGATCCGGCCCGTGGGCGGTCTGGGAATCGCCACGTGGATCGCCAGCGCACGCATTATTTCCCTCTCCCTCCCTCTCCCTCACACGCCTCACTCCCTCCCTCCTCCTGGCTTCTCCCCGCCCTGCCTAGAGGAGGAAGGGGGCTGGGCTTTGTTAGTGTCAGCAGCAGCAGCGCTCAAGCTGCCGCCATTTTAAGCAGCCCCTCTCCAGAGCCCTTTCATGCACTGCTCATTGTCCCATCGCTGCCGCCAGCCCCTGCCACTCGCAAGACACAGATAAGCAGCCACCGGGGCTTGTCGTGCTCTTGCATCATTTTTTTTTCTTCAAAATATAGTCCGGCCCCCCACAAGGTCTGAGGAACAGTGGACTGGCCCCCTGCTGAAAATGTTTGCTGACTCCTGATTTAGTGCAAAGTGAAGGGCACAATTCAGCCAGTGTTAAGCACATTTAAAATGTCGGTTCATAAGACCAGATCCCAAACCCAAAGGTCAGTTAATGGTGTCTACACTATGTCATTGCTACAGTTAAGAGATAAATTCATTCCCAATTTGCACTTCCTTGCCTAATTCAAACTTTCCAAGCCAACACCCAAACAGCACTATATTTCAAAATTTTACCCTTCCTCAAATTTTGCAACACAAAAACATGCAATGAAAATGGGTACAAAAAATGTGTGTGTTGTTGAAAATAATATACAAAGATGCATCGTATTGGGCAGAATTGCTTGCGCAATTTTGTACATTGAGCAAAACTGCATGCCTAAATGTATACAGTCAGAGAAATGTGCTCAAAAATGCATTCAAATGTTTCTGTGATGTCTTCCTTTTTTTAAAAAAAAATCACAAACCGTTGGAGGAAAGAGATAAATTAGAAACCAGAATTGACAGTTTTGCCCATTCTCAGTCCTCACCACAGCAGAAGTCAGTGTCAAGCAAAACATACCTTAAGGGGAAGGGAGGAGAATCCAGAGTCTTGCTTTTCTGCTTTGCCATCTGAAGGGGAAAGTGCACAAGCTGTTCATCTCCAGTGAAATAAATTACATGGGAAACCAGCAGCACCTGGAGAGAGAAAATAAGCAAAAGCTGCGAGACTAAAAAATTAACCTTTCCTCGAGTGAAAAAATAAGTGGCATCACAACTTTAAAGTTGGCATGTTTGCCCCGAAGCAATTCTAAATTTTATCCAAGGTGGCTTTTTCAAAAAAAGGCTAAACCATTTTAACCCTCTCCCCCAGATAATACAAGCAGTGAACTAAGAGACACAAAATTCCTAACCAGCCAAACCAAAAGTCAGAATATGCCTCACAGCCCCCTCAAAAGCCAGGTGAGGAGATAGCGCTCAATTTCCAAGGGAGAAATTTGTTCTTCATCCATGGAGCCATCACTGCAAAGGCCCTGCTTCTGGCAAATAGCATTCTACCTTCCTGCATGGATGGAATGCAAAGCAGAATTAGAACTGAGGAACGTAGGCGGCTGCCTTGTAAGAAGTCAGACTATTGGTCCATCTAGCCAAGCACTTTCTGCTCTGACAGGCCTCAGCTCTCCAGGATCTCAAGCAGAGAAGAAACCTTCCTATCAACTGCTGCTGCTTTATCCTCTTTGCTGTAGGTGCCATAGGTGGAACATGGGACCTTCTGCATGCAAAGCAATGGGTTGCAATCTCTGCAGGGGCCGAAACAGGGTGTGTGGGCCCCATGGGCCAAGGGTTCATCTTCCACTACTGTGTCATGGAAGGTGTACACAGCAGAGCAGACAAGAAGCAAGATAAGAACGTTATTGTCTCTCTCAAACAAGAACAGCAACAAGAAACTCCACATGGAGTCTGTTGCAGACCCCCCCCCCCGGCAATCATTCAGTTTGTACAAACACGACACACACACACACTCACACACGACATACATGACGTTTCTGTTATAAATTCATAGTAAATCAACCGTACATCGGATTTACACCAGTCCACTTTTATTTTGCTCCATGAAGGAAGGACTGTCAAAGGGGGATGGCTTGATACAGGACCATAATCCCTTAAGCGTACCAACACATACTCAGGAGCCCTACCCAGTTGGCATGACAACCTTGATGGTCCCAGACAGAAGACCATCAAGGTCACAAAGGACTTGCATATGGGAGTGGATTCAACATGGACTGGAACAAAGGACAATGTTCAGCTCTTCCCTCTGGGGGCAAGAAACTGCCAGCTCCCCTTTGTCCTCTGGAAATGACTCATGGGGAGGGGAAAAGGAGGAAACAGCCAGGTGACAAGATACTCAGGTTACCTCCACAACTCCTCCCTCAACCCCTCCTTTTCGTGATGTGTCAATGATGTAGTCATGATGTAGTGGTGATGTAGTTCTAGGGGTGTAGTTTGGGGGATTAGTAACTAATAAAGTGGGGGTCTTCTTTTGTTCTGGGCTTCCATTTTGTTTCACCTGGTGGCAGGTGGGAGTCCTGCCACGACAGTCTTCAATAAAGACCAAGCCTACTGGCTGCTGTTTTGCTCTGGTATTCCTGGCTGGTGTCCTTGTTTTTTTATCCAAGGGAGCCCTCAGATTTCTCCGTTAACGTGCAGCAAGAGTCTGTAGGGTCACCTGGGTTTCTGCTGCTGCTGCATCAGCAGAAATTCAAGGTTGATGGAACAGCAAGAAAAGGTTGGGAGTGACATTTACTGGGTCACCTTAGGCAGCTGGATGTCTTCGGCCGAGGCTGTTTGCCGAGAGTACAGGGAAGCCTCGGCTTCCACAATCACATTTTTCCTTGCTGTGCCTTTGTTTTCTAATCTTGCGCTGTAGCTCTCAAAAATACCAAATGTCTTTGGAAAAGACGCCCAAATGGGCACGCCAATTTTCTCTCTTGCAATCTGGCGTTTCCCCAGAACATGAGAGCCTTGGAAAGATGAGTGCCTCATAATAAACCATATGCTCAATATCAGTTTCTCTCTCAATGCCAAGGCTTGCCTGCTAAGAAAGAAAGCCCAGTGGGGGGGGGGGAGGACATTTAAAGCAAAACCCAACAACAACTAATAATGCTGCTGATGACTATGTTTGAAATGTAGCCCTTCAACAGCTGTTTTGCTACCTGGTAACCGTACAGCGGTTACCAGGGACGCGAGTGGCTCTGTGAGTTAAACCACAGAGCCTAGGACTTGCTGATCAGAAGGTCGGCAGTTCAAATCCCCACGACGGAGTGAGCTCCCATCACTCGGTCCCAGCTCCTGCCCACCTAGCAGTTCAAAAGCACGTCAAGGTGCGAGTAGATAAATAGGTACCGCTCTGGCAGGAAGGTAAACAGCGTTTCCGTGTGCTGCTCTGGTTCACCAGAAGTGGCTTAGTCATGCTGACCACATGACCCAGAAGCTGTGCGCCAGCTACCTCGGCCAATAAAGTGAGATGAGTGCCGCAACCCCAGAGTCGGTCACAACTGGACCTAATGGTCAGGGGTCCCTTTACCTTTACCTTTTTAACTGTACAGCACCATTATGGGCTGCAACAGAGGCCACTGCTGCCGGGCAGATTAAAGGGAAGAACCCATTGTTAATAATTACTGGAACTTTGTGAGTGGACATGGGAGGGCAGCTGCTGCTGTTCTTGGTGTGATAAAGCAGCTTTTCTATTGTGGGCCCCTATGCTCAGAGGCTGAATGCTAGCCATTGGTAAACATCAATGGGAGACCTTACCAGCAGGATCTGGTTAGACATTGTTGGAAACGGAATGATGGGCAGGTGTCAGGCTTGAGCTATATGCAGCAGCCTAATGTGAGCTGGGAGCCATGGGACAAGCCAGTAGTCAGGACAAAAGAGCAAATCTGAGCCAAAGGACAAACCCAGAAACATGGCTGAAAAACAAGTTAGAAGCAAGAAAAGCAACCAACATGCTTAAGTCTAGTTAACACATGAAGGGGTGTATAGCATAGAGTAAACTGTCCTGCCAGGCTTAGTCCACTCCACCATCTTGGGAGGAAATAGGTAATCAAGGTTTCTCACTCAGTTCTCCCCCAGTCTACATATTAATTTGGTGTGTGAGGAGCTGTGAACTGCTCCTTTCAGACCGCGTGGCTCTCACAAGCCACTCTTGAATTTTTATACCCATAATTTAGGAACTTTCACCACTTTGTAACTAAACCAAGTTTTACTGCCTGTGTAAATTTTCTGAAGCACATCAACCTGACCTTTGAGGAGTTTGTCTATGTTTCCATGCTTTGCTGTATATTTTGTGATTTTAAATCTCTGCTGGGGTTCTCTCATCAAAGAGTACTTGCCCCAAATTTGGATCTTGGCATCCAGGAATTTTCCATCCTAAATATATGTATATTTTTGCACCAACAAGTTACACCAACACAGGACAACCCCTTTGTTCAAGCAAGGTGTGACACAGGGAGAGAGGAGATCATGTCACAGAGGAACTCCTAAAATGTGGGGCGGGAGGGTATTGTATCACAAGGCCAGAAGTGAGGGAGGGGGCCAGGGAAATGACTGCAAAATGGAATCCTGAAGAAATGTTTGAATCAATGAAGAACATAAGTCTCATTTTTCTCTTTCATTGGCTCACACAATTTTGGTGGCAAACTGACAACATCTTTATCAAGATGGGTTTCTGCCTCGCTTTCATCCAGAGACACCAGGGTCCTTAGGCTCTGAAGGGGGGAAGAACCAGTATAATCAGATAGTTCACAGTGTAAGAGATGTTATCAGGATTTTGTGCAGACATTGCACCTCTGCCAGGGGCTCCTTTTAAACATGCCTCTATAATCAGATCCTACATATCAAAGCTACTGTGTAACCAGAACGCTCTACTATATATCTGGGTGCAGGTTTGCAAAAAAACACTGTCAGCTCTGAAGATCCAGGTTCCTTGTGTGTGTGTGTTTTCAGGAACTCCCTGCCCTCGTGGCCACATCTGTAGGAGGAAAATGCTGATGTTAACCATTTTCACACACTGATTGGGCAATTGGCTTAAAAAGCCTGCCATACCCACTTGATGATGTCTGGACCAGAAACCCCCTTGGGTTATCTAGAGTGCACCTCTCTCCAAGGAAACTTGTTTGTGTTACTAAGTCATACTGTATGCCAGGGTGTTTTGCTCACTACCTCTTTGCACAGATTTCGTTCTTGGTCCTAAGTGGCTGAGATCTGCTTTTCTTTTCCAGATAGTGTTTTGTTTTCTTTTTGCACAAAAATGTGTGGGTTTTTTTGGTTAAAAATTGTCTTTCTGCCTTTCATATCTCCAGGATTTTGAGGGCTATTAGAGAGTTGTATCAGCATCATCTTTCAAACACACCACGAGGGTTGACTTCCAGAGGAGTAGCTGTGTTTGTTGCAGAAATAAAAAGTAGAGGTGTGGCATTATTTATTATAATAGACACCAGCATTATTTATTACTATTATGGTATAAACCAAGAAGATCAAACCTGTCCATTCTTAAGGAAATCAGCCCTGAGTGCTCACTGGAAGGACAGATCCTTTTTTTTTTTTTTTAAATCATATTTATTAAAATTTCCAAAAATATAAAAATACAAAGAAAAAAGACAAAAGAAGAAAGATATTTAAAAACCTTACTTTCTTTCCCTACTTTCTGGGACTCCCCCCCTCCCCCCCCCAATTGTATTCCCCTTTCCTTAATTTGGTTCTACAAGCTCTCACTCCCAATTTAAAACTTAATTTGTTTAACCCACTATCCAGATTGAATTATACAACTCTTACCACCGTCCCACGTCATTAACAGAAAAAGAAAAAAGATTTTCCCCAAGATCCACCCCAGTTCCTTCCACAAATTCCCTTTTTTTTAAACACGTCCGATCAAAGTAAAATAACATACGTAAGTTATGTAAAGAAATAGAAAATAAAAGATATAGAAAAATTCAAAAAATGGTTACACAGCCTTTGGATTTCAAATCTCCCCCCCCCCTTCCCCGGTTTGAATTCCCCATGTCCATCAGTCTATACATTATCAGCTTGGGAGTCTCATTGCATGAACAGATTTCTCCCTGCTTCCATCTTGCCGGTTTTCTTTTAGTTTATTAATTTAAATAATATTTGACTTCAAATGTCCAATCTAACAAAGGCCTTTAATTTCCTTGATCTTTACCACTCCTCCCGTTGTTCTTTCCGTGTCGTAATCAGTCCTTTATTCTTCTTATTCCTCACTTTCTCAGGTTTCTTGTCCTGTTCAGCTGCTAAAACTTTCTAATTCAGAAATCTAGTGTCTCTGCAGAGGTTTGTTATTCAGGAACAAAAACTTACGTCCAGTCCCTTTCTTTCTTCAATAAAAATTCCATTGTCTTCCTCTGTAGACAAAATATTCTTTCAGTTTTGCAGCTTTCCCAGAAGATAACAAATCCTGTGCGAATCCCAGGGTATTTTTCCACTTACGACCGATCTTGTAGTATCCCGACACCCCTCTAGGGGATTGTAATAACTTTGTATCCTCTAATCCAAGAGTCAAATTGTTACTTATTTTCCAACAGTTTATATCCATATTATAGCAAATTGTAACAAAATTTACCAGCAAGGTCCTCGTAAAGTCCTCTTTATATTCTCCAGCTTTGACAGCCACTTTGACAGCTGTCAAAGTCTCCGTCTCTCTTCACCAGGCTCCACGAATCGCCCGGTTCCCAGGGGGTTGCATTTTCTTCTCACCCTCCACTCTTCTCCTCCAGCACATTTCTTATAATTTCCCATCGTGAAATTAATGATGAAGCTGAGGCTCCAATACTTTGGCCACCTCATGAGAAGAGAAGACTCCCTGGAAAAGACCCTGATGTTGGGAAAGATGGAGGGCACAAGGAGAAGGGGACGACAGAGGATGAGATGGTTGGACAGTGTTCTCGAAGCTACCAGCATGAGTTTGACCAAACTGTGGGAGGCAGTGGAAGACAGAAGTGCCTGGCGTGCTCTGGTCCATGGGGTCATGAAGAGTCAGACATGACTAAACGATGGTATAAACCAGGGGCGGTCAATGTGGTGCCCTCTAGGTGTTGAGTGGGGACTACATGCTCCATCTTTCCCCTGACCATTGGCCAGACTTGCTGGGGCTGCCAGGAGCTAGAGCAGGGTTTCCCAAACCTGGGTCTCCAACTGCTTTCAGACTACAACTCCCATCATCCCTAGCTAGCAGGACCAGTGGTCAGGGGTGATGGGAACTGTAGACCAAAAACAGCTGAAGACCCAAGTTTGGGAAACCCTGAGCTAGAGTTTCCTGTTTTGAAGCAAGACAATTCTAAGAAGTTTGGGATGGAAGCTGGTCCTCCACATTGTCCCCCCCCCCCACTCTCCTGTTCTAAAATGTCTCAGGAAGAAAGACAATTATGT